TATTCTGGAGTGAAATATTGCAGGGTGAAAAAAAGTTAGCTTTTCAGTTCCCCCCCTCCCCATAGTCTCCTGAGTGTATATGGAGCTGACTTCTTTTTAAAAAGTGGGGGAAAAACACACACACACGCAGACACACAAATAATTTTGCAAACGTCTTTTGCAAAAACATCCACTCTTGATGCATATACAGCATAAATATGTATTCCATGTCTCAGTCACAAACAGCTATTTCTCTTTTTACGTTCACTTCTATGTCTCCCCAGCCGACAGTGTAGTAGGAGAGACTGGAGCTACAGCATGTTTGTGTTTCTGCACCAAGAGAGGCTCGGGGCCCAGTGTCCAGGGGCCAGTTTCCCTCGGGATTCCTCCAAATGACTCCAGTGACCTGTTGCCCTCCTCGGCGGTAGGCATGCACTCCAGCAGGTCGCAGTGAGAGGTCAGGGGTCGTTTGAAGCAACACGGTGTCAATATGTGACCTTCTCACAGACAAACAGGATCAATCGGCAAATTAACTCTCTGAACAAGGTCGTGGTTTAAATGTTGGTTGATGGATTGACAAGATTCATATTCATTCATTTTATATAAATTACCTCAAGTGCATATATTTGTGTTTATTTAGTTTCTGAATTTGGCTTCCTATTACAAAATGACAACACTTGTTTGTTTTGTTTTTCATCTCATATCTCAGAAAATGTACACATTCTTGTTAAATTTTGTTTTAGAGGCATAGAGTATGCTTCCAAGAATGATGATTGCCTTTTCTCTCTTTACCAAGTCAAATCCAGTGGACCGGGGATCACAGTGTATACAATTAAAATGAACAAACAAACCCATGATATGGTCAGAAAGGATATTATTGTTGAAATGACCCTTTCACAATCACACAATATACTACCAGGAGTTGAAACACAAACATAATGCTCTATTTTCAAACATGTCTATTCCTCTGATCTTCCAAAAGAAGTGTTACAACATATACACTGCATGCATATCAGTATCATCAGAACCAATCTGTAAGGAAAGTATTCACAGTCATGAAGAAACCATTCGTGGTAATTAAGGTACAAGCTAAATGACAGGCATAAAATAAATGTCTCCCTTTATCCAGAGTAATGTTCTGAATTTGCCGCCTTCATTCCAATCAGTTTTACATTTCGTGAAAGCAGCGCAGAGTTACATTGTCTTAATTAGGAACATAGGCTGGCTTTACAACAATGTGTGGGAGGACCTGGAGGTTGAAGTGCTCCGTGAATGCAATGTGCATCATCAGCCTAATAAAATATAACACTGAAAATTAAGTCTGTTGGACCTGAGGCACGCAGAACAACAGGATCCCTGAAGCAAAATGATGCGGGTTTCAGTTATAAGTGTGTGTGTGCGTGTGGATATGTGTGTGTTTATATAAGTGCATTTGCAAGAGCATAGAACCACAAAGTAAGCAATTATAGAAATATGTTTGTTACTGTATTAATTCTTTCTCTGGAATAGAAAAGAGAAAAACCCTGCAAAGAAAATGTGAAGTAGGCTGCAGCTCCTTTGTCCTAGTTTGAGCACCACATTCGCCAAAGTGCATCAAAGTGTCAGCAATTCAAATATGAAAAATGGATGAAGACAATGGTGCATTTCTCACAATTTGTTCTAATAAAGTGTCAATCAAACTGCTCCATGGATGACATTAATATCATATGATGCAGCATTCCATATCAAAGATCTCATCGATCCTCGTCCCCCCTTTGGCTCAATCTGAGGCCTGTCCTCCCCTCTTATTATCACCATCATCATTCGGACATGAAAGGAGAGAAACAAGTGCTGCACCATTGCCAAGGAGAAACCTTGATCTTGGAGCATTTGCATTCGCCACCTAGTTCCACTGGATGTATGAACGCGTTACGAAGGTACTCTCTGATTGGATGGCACTGAAAAGCTGGCATTCTGCTAATGCTCAAAGCAAGCAGGCTCTCCCCCTCCCCCTCCATACGCTGTCACACTCAGTTGGTGGCACTAGGGGGCAGTCCACTCTGTTGGTTGTTATTGCTGAAGAGGCATCTACAGTAGGATTTTTCATCAGGAGAAATAGGACACAGTAAGAGTTAAATATATATATAAATCATTTATTCATTCATGATGATTCCTTGAAAAATCTATTAAGTTTCTGTGAGCTTAATGCCCCTGCTTTCTCACCATGAAAGACATTAAGCTCTATACAGTAGTGCTGCTTTTGCTAATTAATTTGGAATGTACCATTAATTTGCTTAACAGTTAAGCACATTTTTGTAGTAAATCTGTAAATCTGGACTGTATATACAACATTTGAAATTTGCTTGTCTTGATGGGGGAATATTCTACTCTAAAGGAGTGTGAAGCTAAAGTTAAACGTGTTTTAATGATACAATTATTGATAGTAATATATCTGGTAGATCGCTATAAAAAAAAAAAGGCTGATCAAAAACCAGGCAGGCTGGTGCTTCTGAACCTATTGTTACCGTGTGATACTTGAGAGAATGATAAGCTGCACTTTCATCACAATATATTTTAGTTTAATTTTCAGTAATAGTAAAAAGGGCCAAGATGTATTAGGAATAATAACACAAAATATAATCCATATTTAATTAAAAAGGGGGGTGTCACTGTGTCAAAGAGAAGCGATTAATTTAATTGCTAAATACATGGATACACACGCACACACACACACTTTTAAAGGGGCTATACTGTGTCTGTGGTACAGTATAGTGTCTATCAGGAGGCTGCTGATTAAAGGGCAACAACAATGAAGCATGGAAATCCCCAAAGGAACAATGTTCATCTGGAGATGAATTAATGTAAGAGCAGTGGTGATTACCACAAGGGCAGCCAGCCATTTCATATTTCTAGCACGAGGCGGTGGACCTCAAATTTTAACCATGACGAGATTTAAATGTATTTTGCTTAGCGAGAATCTCTCCTTTTTTTTCTCCCCCATTTTTTCCTGCTTTGCACTGATAACTGGTGCATGTTTAACTCAATTAGGTCATAATACACAGACAGCTTTATAGATGAACAATGTCTCACATATGTGGGGATGTGAATGATGAATGATGTAAATTCAGTGTGTGGGATAACATGGATGCTACGTCATCTTAAATGTGTATCACTGGCTTTCTGTGCATTCTGTTATGCTCCTTGACGACTGATACAAAGAAACACTGGATGTTACATTTGACATGATTCAAACAAAATCCAAACTTGTATTCTCTGTTTTTCATTATTAAAAATAACCATTTCACTGTCATATCTTATCTACAATTTTAATGTGTCTTGATTACTCAAACACGGCTTGAATACATTGTGAATGTTTCCTGTACTTACTACCTGTCAATGAACTGCACTTTTATCTCAATTATCAATAAAAATGCTTGTTTAATTTTGAATTGTGTCACTACGTTTTGCCTTTCTAAATTATTTTATATTGCTTTGTGGAATATGTGCTCAATGAAATGTCAGTTTTTCAAAAGCCCACTTCCTTACTGCAGCTACAGATGCTTAAATGTTTGGTGCTACCTTCTCAGCTGTTGTCATGGCAATGAAAAGATGATAATTGCATGTATTACATTTAAGGTGATTGCTTCATGCTGATCCCAGTCAACCAATCTGTAATTGGAACTGAATTTAGCGGGGGACCTTTTTTCTGTTTTTCTTAGCTTTGTCATAATTTGGAGGTATCCTTGTAAAGAAAGTAAAAAAAATTAAAAGACAGGTCAGAGGAGTTCAAACAAAGTAAAGAGTTCTCTTTCAGGCCTTTCGTGATACAAGGCCGGGTCAGTCATGAAGTATGGCTGCTACTTCTCACAATCGGCATGAGGGTGGGATCACCATTCTGTGTCAGAGAGAAAGCCCACTATTATAGAGTCACCCCTCCAGAAGCTTCTCAGTTCTTGCGGCTGTGTTGGGGACTGAAGGGTGGGGGTCTCTGCTCCCCTTCCCGAAGTGGAGCTCCACGCCGCTCTACGGAGAGGGACTTCTTTGAATAGGCTCCACTCAAGAGGAATAAAAGAACCTCTCCAATGGTTTGTTTTGGAAGCTGTCTTATTGATCTGTCTACCTATGAATGAATACATTGGCCCAGTTTTCCCGCTCATGTGGACAATGGCACTCAAGGCCTGTATTAACTGGCCCGATGTTACTTGTAGAGAATGATGTGCATTAAGAGTAGTTTTGGAGCGCTTGTCATTTTCATCTCTTTATCTACTCTACTAACCTTTCCCATAAGAATAGAGAAGCCAAACTAAGAAAGGCAAATCGATCGATGGCCACTGACTGCCTAAATTAATGCACAAGGACATATTTCATAAGTAGAGTGATGCTGAAACACAATTACAGTATTATTGAGCACTAGTAAAAAAAAAAAAAAAAGACGCAATTTTAAATCTTGCGTGTGACCTTGAGGACCCAAAAAGGAGCCACTGGAGATGCAGAGAAAAGCCTAAGTACTAAGCAATGGTAGCATTGCAACCCCATTTCAAGGTCTTTTACTCCTTTTGCCATGATTTGGAGGAAAGGAGAGAATGAGATTCAACAAAGAGAGGCAGACTGAGTCCATTAACTATTTCACAAACAAGTCCTTGGTGCGGCATCATTTCTAAGGTTGTTAGTCACTCTTACGGGACAGAGTATCAGCCAACTTCAATAGAAATACTGACTTGCTGTTATTTTGGTAATTTACTGACCTACAAACTCATGAAAGTGAATATGGATATATTAAATATCCAAACTCAGTTTCTCCCTTTAGTCATCTGCAGCATTTAATGACCGTGACCAATACATCCATCTGAGATTGCTACTGTTACAGGGACTGTGAGCTGACTGGCTTATTATAGAAACTTGCTTTGAATTTATCAGTAGTTCAAAACAAATAGATGTGCCAAACACATCTAAAGCTTTGTAAATGAACCCATATCCCTGTTGTGCTACTGCTAAGGTCATACATAAAGCTAGTGGAGAATAAGGATAATAAATGAAGGACATAGTAAAGAACATAATTTATTTAAGACAAAATCTAAAGCAGAAATAAATACATGAAAGAACAACAATGTGTGTAATTTACTTTGTGAACCCAACAATGAATAATAAACACTTCGAGTGGTAACAAACAGAAGAAACAATGCCTCATTAGGCCACTGAATTCTGATTATACCAGCTACTTAACGGACCAGACCATTAAAAAAAAAAAAAAAGGTTAATCTGTAACTGATTTGTCAAACACATTTTCAAAACTGAAGTGAGCCACCATGCATTCCAATAACAAAATAAAGAGTTTGCTGTTAAAATTAGAAATGTTTACAGGCCTCGACATGTGTAATAAATACAAAAACAAAGATAAGTCAATCAATAAAAATAGTCATTAGGACAAATTAGATTTTGTTTGAAAGGTAGATTTAACAGATGGTAGTAGACTAGTAATGAGTTCAGGAAGAGCAGGGCGTGGGGGTGGGGTGGGGTTAAATCAACTCACCATACAAATCATTTGTATGAAAACAATCTAGAAATTAGGCAGGATTGATACATTCATTATGTGCATATTCCCCATCATTTCAAACACACAAAACTGAAGCTAAGACTTTCAACATCAGGAGCTTAAAAATGTGATATGGTGCTGCTCGACTTTGTAAAATGTTTTCTGTACAAAACTCACAGAGCTGGAATTCATAATTACAACTCTATGATATAATAAACGTAATGACAAAAGCAAATGCCAGAGAACCTCCAGATTGTGTGATCTGTAATCAATCTGGCATCATCACGTACCCTACATTCCTGAATAAACTGGACAATCATGTTGGGCCAGTGCTTCATGAGCACAATGACTGTTTGTGCGTACATACCCATCAAAGATTTACAGTGTGCAAAGACACTGTAAATACTGTTATTATGTCCTGTTGTGAACCAGAGCTTGTGATTCCCGCTTTATCGAGATGGATCTACAGAAAACAGAAGGCCGCAGAGTTGTAGTCCAGTTGTAGTTTCAAACACTAGCAGACACCAAATCTACAGACATCGGTACAGGGGAACAGACTCACTTGGCACCATTTTAAAAATCAAAACTTACAAATTCACAATTTGATCAGTTAGAAAATTAATAAAAACAAACAAAAGATTGTTCTCAAAAGCTAGGGATGGGTAAAAGTGAAGAAAAAAAATAAAAAAAAATAAAAAAAAAAAGGGAACGCAGAACATGAAGGCGGTACCCTATCAACAGTAGTTGACATCATCTCCCCTTGATCACAATGCCCTTTCAGATTACAGCTGACCTACAGCAGAGATCCTATACATGCAGACAGACACACGGACACAAGCACATACCTTGACTGAGCCCTAAGTGTTGTCCTCCCTTTAAAATCATTGCTGCTGCTCAAAAAAGAGCTTAAAATTCTCTCATAGCTTCTAAAATGGTTCAGATAAAACCAGGGAGGTCACAATGTAAATGAAACATCACAAATCTGCTGGAACGCCTTTTCTTTTAAAAAACTAAGTTTGTCCTTGATGGCAAGTTCAATTAGACACATTTAAATACATGAGCTTCAAGTCAGTGAGATGTCTCCCATCTCTTCCTCCTCTGCAGGAACAACTCTTCTTCGGTTGTCCATGGTGTAACCCTGGTTAGCGGCATGACAGCTTTACCCAACCAGCCAGTCAAGGAATATCCACCGGCTGCTCCTCCCTCCTCCTCCTCCTACAAATTCAGACACGTTGGTCCTTGCCGCATATATTTTAAGACTTATTCAGAAACTTTTGTAGTCCGTAGCAATGGAATTTAGACATTAAAAAGCTATTTTGCGTGAACACATATTTTAAGTGTGCTCAAAAGACACACATTGGGGCACAAGTATGGCATTTATAAGTTCCGACAAAACTAAAAAAAAAAAAAAAAGGGGGAAAAAAAAGTGATTTTAGGCTAATATGAAGCCTCCATTAAGATCTCCAGATTCAATGATATTCTGTGATCTAAATGCAGCTTCTTTACAATGCGTCACTGTGGGAAATTAGAACTATCATGGAGATACAGACGGGAATATAGATAGTTGCATGACTCTTTATGTCAGGGCCCTGCATATAAGAACCAACCAATAAAACTTAACAGCATGTATCCATCCCATCATGGAGAGTAACTCCAGAAGTTTTTTTCCTGGATAAGTCGGTGATGTAATTCATATCCAATACTAGTTAAAAAGGAGTCTGTAAGAAGCTGCATTAAGGACTCAGTAAAAGACGTGATGACATCATGAAGCTGAGGATGTAGATGGATTACATATGACCAGTTGTGAAAACGTATTAAAAAGGAACATCAATTAAACTCTCACTACTGGCCTCCCTAAAACTGGGGGAACTGTGCAGAACTGCCACACCACATGTACAATTAATTGTCATCAGAATCAGATAGATACAGTATTTCCCCTCCTTGCAATCATATTTCATACAGCAAACTGGACCTGTCTCCAGTCTCTTACTTTGCCAATACACAGACAGTGATTAATATTCTTCTAACTCATACTTTCAGTCCGTCTGTTATTAAGGTTTATAAATCTTCTCCAAATAAAAAGGTAGTGGTCGTAGTAGTAAAAACAATGACAAGAGTTCACAGAATCATCTGTGGAGGAAGCACTGGAAGTTGAACCAGGAGCTCTGATGATATGGTCAATCATTGTGGGGTGGTCAGAGGGAGGAGGGAAAGGAGGAGGGAAAGGAGGAGTTGTGGAGCAGAGTCATCAATAGGCCTCTGTTGTCCTCGCTCAGTCCTTTCTGATCAGGCCGTACACACAGTAGCCCTGTGTGGGTCTGCCTGCCACTGCTGGGTTGTTGATGCTATGCCGCCATGAGATACTGATGGTAAAAGAGACCAAAGAGGGAGGTGGAGAACAGACAGGCAGCAATCCACCAAGTAAAGAAGGAGAAGAGGCCCCGGAAAAGCAAGGGGCTGAAGACAGTCCGCAGGCCTCCCAGGGCCATTGACAGCTGGGCTACTGACGCCCTGGCTCCTGTTTCTACCACCGTAGCTGTTGCCGGGGCTGCTATTGGAGCCACCCCCATCACAGAGTCAGAGTTCATTTCGTGGGTGCAAGGCAGGTCTTCTTCGGGATAGACCCACCAGGAGTGTCCACCTGTCATAAATAAAGCAAAGGGAGAAAAATTGCTTGAACCTACGGTGGGCAAAGAGATATTCTAAATTGGAAAATCACTGAGCAGTACATGACTCACCTAAGGTTTTTAGCAGCAAAGTTGTATGTAGGAGCATCACCAGTGGTGCCACATACTGTAGTGCGATTACACACAAGTAATAAAAAACACGTGCAACCTGGGGGGGAATCAGACAAGAATTGCATTTATATGGTCCTTTACGCAAACTGTTAAACACAGCCTATTGTAAGACTTGAAGGTTTAACACCAAACTCTCATAGCTGCTTTCTGTTTCTCTGAGGAAAAAAAAACTCTTCAAACATAATCGAATGTAGGAATACAGCCTGCTGGTCAATATTAGTTTTAATATTGTTAGATTTTATTAGACAAATGGGATTATTACTGATGATGGTCACTGGATGTTTCAGTTCATACAACTACCACATTAGCAAAAAAATAAGTAAGAAACTTGGCCATACATCTTCATCACTCGGTTGTAGACCACAACTCTTTCACCAAGTCTAGAAATTAAATTCAACTAACAACTGACATTCTTGGTAGTATACCTGTATTTGCAGCGCTATATATTATATTATTTAGGTTGATGTATATTAACACTTGTGTCAAGAACAAGAATAGGAGTTGTAACATAGGAGGGTCTCTTCTAAACTAGACCAAACTGCCAATACTTCATGTTGGGGAGGGCTTTTAGAGGCAATGATAGGAGCTGATGTGTTTGGCCACAACTCATACCAGTCCTAAACACACTCACTGATAATGTATCCAATTTCCAAGTGCACCACAGGTGGGCTGCTTGCCTACTGCATAATGCATGTCCTGTGTGTAGATGACTGAGTTTTGTGCTCTGTTCCTTAATTCACAAAGACCGAAACCTAAATGCGTCTATATTTGCTTTTAATAAAAGGGAAATGGGCTTACTCCTAAATTTCTCCACCTCCAACAAGGTGGCTCCATCTAAGCGGTTACTATGAATTACTGATCTTAACAGTGCTCTGCCTTTTAATCCCTTCAACAGTACAGCATGTGCTTAATGGCATAATGATATATTTTTTTTAAATTGATGGAGAGTTGGAGAAGGGTATAGTAAGGATTTTTTAAATCTATTATCTTATTCACCATCTTCTGCAGGTCAACGGTACTTATCCGTCCGGCCTCCTTCTTCATCTGGTCCACACCCTTCTGGGCCAGGTTGAGGTAGGCCTGCAAATGATGTCTCATCATAGCGAGCCGGAGTATACACAGCAGTATGATGGTCCATAAGCGCAACGTATCGTACGTCTGCTCAGTCATCCTGATATTAATAGAAAGACAGGAGTGAGTAAGAGAGGGGAGGAAGATGAAGGGATGACAGCTTTTTCTGGCCTGCAAACTCAACACATCATGCATCTGCTCCATCATCTGGATGGTAGGCCGAGACAATGAGAGACAGGAAAAGGTGGTAAGAGCAAAGGAGTCATAAACAACTCAGAAGAAAAAGTACAAGGGGATGAAATTGAGAGATAAAAAAGGTGAAAAGGGGGTACTGTAACATGAAATTGGGCTTAATCATGTTTGACCTTGATGGTATCACAGTCACAGTCAGCATCAGAAGAAAGTTTTGACACATGACAGAATTCAAACTTGCAACAAAAGATGTTATCTTAGAAAGAGCTCACAAATGACAGCAGTTAGAGACACAATATAGCTTTCCCTGATGTATGACTAAATTTGTTTACAGTGTAATTTTAACCAGAGTAGACAACGTGTGTATTGTCACTTCATCTACGAGCTGAATACATTTCTTATCTCATTGAACTGTTGTAAATTCCATTTTCATAACTGCTGTTGCATTGTTTACATCCATTTTCCAGCACAAAACCACAATTACTTTTATTTTCACATATTTGCATTGTTGTCCTGTCCCTCTTGTTTGAATGGCAGGTAGTTAGCTTGCTAGATATCAAGGGCGCCCAACCGGCTTGCCAACCAAGTGCAGATCAATCAAAAAAAGGTGCGAGAAAATACACCTTCAGCACTCTCTTGCTTTCAAGAAATGTTTAGGCAATCTCATACATGAGCTACAAAGCATTTTTACCACAGAGTTCTAACTCTTAGCAAAGAATATAATTATGCACTTTCAAGTAACACACTTACAGTTAACTTCTCCTACAATATACCTCAACAACAAGTGGGTTAAATCTCTTCTTTGCAAATTTGACTATGACTGTATACACAAGTTATTTATAGTATAAATTGGAATTTATTTGCCAACTGTTGGAACCACATAATTACTTTTACTTACAAAGGCACACTCTCCTTGTCCAGGGTAGGGTTCATTAAGTAGTCCTTGGTAATGGGCTTCACCCACAGCAGGACCATGATAAGAGGGGACAGGAAGTTGATATGAAGCAAAGTCCTGTAGAAAAAGGGAGGTGAAAGAGAAGATGCACAGTTTAACCAGTTTAAAGACAAAAAAACATCCAACAACTTGATAATTAAAAAATCATCATCAGTGACTTCCATATATGAATAAACAACCAGCTCATTGAAATCTTCTCTTTTATAATCTAAATATGAAGTTAAAATAGTGAGAAATAAGGTCTATGCTATCAATGTAACTTTCCCTGAGAGGGGTGAGAAGATAACCAAGGCACAGATTTTGAAGGGCTCGGAGATAATCCCTGCTAGTGACAGGGTCTGAGGATGTAAGCTCATGACAGTTAAGAGGGGGAATGGAAGAGGAGGCCATTTTGGAGAGTCTGCTATGCCAAAGTGGATTATCTGGATGCGACGTGCTCCCTGCTCTGCACCCCCTATCATGGTCGTAGACATGCCACCCAGTGAGTTCTGAAATAGAAATCCGCCCCAACTAGGAAGTCTTCATCTGACTCACAGGGTGCTCTTTCGCATCTGACACACACTGAATAGTAGGAGACAAGTACAACTGCACTATATTTGGCTTCTTGGTACTACTTGAGCACTATGTTTGTGGCACATCATGTGTTAATTAAGCCCAGAATCACAGATATAGCAGGCTATCCTAAAGCTTTTTTCTATTATCATTAGAAACAAGTCATTCATTTAAGGAGGATGGCATGAAAGTTATATGCTTTCACCTAAAAATACCAGTGAGGATAAACATTTGGACTCCAAACTCAAGGCTGATCCTAGAAAAGGGTCCTTAAGCAGCTACAAAACACATTGAGACAAGCAAAAGTATTTAAAAAATAAGGCACATTAAAACATTTCCTGACCAGGAACGGATGTTTAAGGTCTTGCTTTAACAAAGATTGCCGTGACTTTCCACCTTTTACATTCTCATTATTAAGAATAAGGAAGACATCAAAAGTATTCAATGAAAAATACATGAGTGAACACAGAAGTAAAGACAATTACTGTAGTGGACTCACTGTGTAAATTTAGCTGTGGTCAGATTGAGTGCATCTAGGTGCATCTGGGCCAATCGTAGACCAGGGAAAGTTAGAAATGCTCCAATCAGGGAGCAAAGCAGGGCCAGGATCAGCTTGAAGGTGAGTTTAGATATGGGACCCCTGTGAAAGAGAAAACACATAGTGAGTTACTACTGTAGTTTCATGAGTCATAAAGAATTCATGAAGGCATAGAAAACAAAAATGATACTGAGAGAATACTGATTTTGTACTTACTGGGACTCTAAGCCCTGGTGCTCCAGAAACTGTAGCGCACTGTCAGAGAAGTTTGCAAAACCTAGAAATGAAAAAAATACTTGACAGTGACTCACTGGTGCCAAAAGTAATCAAATTTGGTTGTGACTAACGGGGTCATTTGCGGGAGAAGCACGGTAGAGCACTCACCTGTCTCCAGACCAAACTCTAGGTAGTTTTCAGTGACGATGAGAATGGCCATGGCTTTGACAAAAAAGAAGAAAGCAAAGGTAATGCAAAGTGAACGCTCGCCTCCTTCCTCCAGCTTGAAGTAGTGGGCCGTTAGAGAGAAAAGGGTCTTTCTGTGGGGACCGAGTCAAGGAAAAACATCTCCAGAAGCACACTGGCATACAAAGCAAATACAAACTGCTTTTGCAGATATATTTGCAATGCCTTTCAAGGTTCAAGGCAAACAGAAATAAGTCTCCACAATCAACCGACACAAAACATTTAGAACACAGTAACACACAGCTATTCACCACACAAAATGTGTTTCGTCTTTACAGAAATACACACAGAGTTTGTGCATACTTACAGGCCCCCCTCCACCCATGAACGCTGCACAAACCCTGATGCCAAGCATGTGTGGGTCTTTAGCATCAATGCCTGCCATTGAGGTTGTAATTGTATTTTACTCTTTCTCCGTCTACACTGATCAGAAGGCTAAGGACAGAGCATGTTTCTAAAACGAACTCTGGTTGCCAGAGAGATTTCAGGTGACAGCATGGCAATTTTTCTCTCCCTTTTAGTCCATTTCAAGAATGGCATTCAATCGAATGGAGTCTTCTTTCTTTTTTTTCCCCCCTCCTTCCACAGTACTGTGAAGACAGCTGTATAAACACTGAGCCAGCATGAGGCTGAGAAGAGAAATAGTCATGTTTGAGCTATCATGCGGTGGGGCTACAATTAATATACTGCCAGAGTTGGCCTGTCAACATTGGCCAAAGGTAAGGATATGCAGTCACATTTTTAAATTTCAGTAAAATGAGGGAGGAAAAGTGAGGTTTTCATGTGAAGATTCAGATACTTAAAGAGCATGCTGCTCCCGGGTTATCAGTGAAGGTTAAGGCAGCAGAGCTGATCTCCAGGGCAAGAGTCTTAAACATATCATCAGAGCTGAAATAGGGAAACTGAAATCAAGTGTCCTATTAACACATATATTGAGCCAACATATTCCCTCATCTTCATCTTCATAGTCCCATTTCATCTGTTCCACAGTCTGTCCTTTTCCCCAAGCGTATCAGTCTGTTGGGCTGTGAAAATTGGGCCTCCAATCTCCAACGTAGGCAGGAAATGACACACCATCTGACCGCGGTGAGCCAGGCCCGACCAGGAGCACTGGAAAGATTGATCCCTGTGGTTGGTGGCAAGGATAATGCATATTATTTAACCATCATTCGGTGTAGCAAAATAGCAGGTAGCCGTGGAGCATAAAGGTGCTGCCTGGAAGTCAAGCCAGTAGGAGCGTATTTTATAGTCTCTCCTCGCCACTGCTGCAATCACACAATCAATCTGGAATGATTCGGTCTCTTAAAAACAAAAAGGATGTCAACCTATGACATATAGTATTGTGAAGAACCTAAAGTGAAAATTATAGAAATGTGTAAACGCAGAGTCTATAGAATACCTCAAATGTTTCCAACCCACTAACAGACATAATAATGTACAGCATAAATGTGTTACCAGTTCAAAAAACAGTTTACGTCTTGGTTAGCCCTATTTCTTATCGGACTGTCTCCTCAGTTTAGTTTTGGTGTAAAGAGTCACTGATGTAAGGATACATGACAAAAGCAAGCACTAGCAGGCACCAGACCACGCTGATGTTCATCTCTCCTGAGGCTTGAGCCACACCGTAGTAGAGTTCTGTTATCAGATAGACCACAGTTGCCGCTACTGTGAAATCCACCAGCCACTGGAACTCTGGGAAGTAGTGCAATGCTGTGGGCATAAGGAGTATAATTAAATCCAAACATATACAGCACAGTATATATACACACTTAAAGAGTGTAATTGAAAAGAAAACTTTTATTAACCATTTGCCCTCTTAGATTTATACCTAATGTGTCCACTTCCGTGATGCATTTCGTCTCCAGCTGTAAGTCTATGTCCTTGGGAACCGTTAGTGGCTTATTGTCTATGTGACCATTGTACTTTCTAGGGAAAAAAAGAGAGCAGCAAAACAAGAACTGGAGTCAGGATAACAGAAATAAGCAACTACAAACTGCAGGTAAACATCATTTCAGATCATTTGTTTCATCTTGCCTTTTATACAATTGAAAATAAGTAGCAGTTACTCACATTTTTGCACTCTTATTTTGTATTTATACAGTAAATATTGATAAATAATACAGGCTTAGTGAGATGATGGTCTGAGTACTTCAGGTTGAATTTATGTTTTCAAATTACTTTTTCTACCTCCCAAAGAGTAGTGGTAGTAAAGCCATCACAGGTAAAACCCCTTCTTTGGTGTGATATTTAATTCAGCTCTGGCATCCAAATTTAACAGTTGACAGAGGTCTAGCTACTTTTATTACAACTAATACTACTAGACTCTTAGATGACCAAGAGGGATAGGCAGGGATAGGGCAACAGATAGGTAGTGCTAAATTGGCAACAGCAGGCTTATGGGGAGCTCTACTTTAGGCTTGAAGAACTGTCTGGTGGGCCTCCTCAGTCCTGGGCTTTGTTTGTTGAGCCCCGTGTGTGCGCTGGATTCACAGGACAATGCCACTGTAAGACTCAAGGGCCAAACATGCCCTGGACAGATTTCATCTCTGAGGCACCTGACAGGAAAAAAAGGGGCTCAGCTTCACCCCTGACTGAGGGAGTCAGGCCGTTCACAAAAGGAATGGAGCTGCATGGCACGAGCTGGCAAAAGGACAGTGGTCCATCTTTTTCTTCAAGGGATTACTGAACATGTGGCGCTAAGAGAGCCTTCACCTGCCTCATATGGGGCCTGAGAAAGGACTGCGCTACAAAAACCGCCTTAAGTTAGAAGCTGGACACCATGAGGAACAGTGAGGATTAGCTTTCAGTTGTGACTTCAATTGAAATTCACATTTAAGAGAAGAGCACAAAGGAAACGGCACTAAATTCACGTGTTCAACATATGGTTCAACTTCTACCTGCAGGCCTAAAAATTCAATAGTGGTTTTTTTGAATTGCAAAATAGTCTTGAAGGAAAATCAACATCTTCCAGATCAAAGCTTGACATCTGACCACTCTGAAGACATAATGCTGTTCGATTTCAGAGAGGATGCAATCCTTTTAAAGTGTCATCCCCTAAAATAGCCTAAATAGTAATGGCGCCCAAAAAACAGGACTAACTTTTGTCACATCTACTAGACAGGGCCACTTCTAAGCCGAGTTGTTCTGAGCCTCGATGAAGAGCCATAGAGGAACAAAACAACAAAAACAGATTTCTGTCTCCTTACTTCAAACAGGCCTTAAATGAGCCACATAAACATATCAGCATCATCTGTTTGCTGACATGCCTGTGGTCTCCATCCATCTCAAATGTCTGCTTCTCATCTTTTCTTTCCTCTCTGATGAAAGGGGTGCCTTTCGTACCTCCTCTGTGCCACTGCAGTTCCCCAACCCCCAAACAATAGCCCTTCTTCATTCCAGCCCCCGCTTCCTACCTACCTGTCTTTCCTCTTCTGTCCTTTTTGTTTCCCAGCTAAGCTCCTCAACTCATCTTCCGTGGGGTGCTGATACCAACGCAGACTGTGAACAAAGAAAAGGAGAGAGATGTGGAATCAGGCTCAGACATGGACAGAGGAAGATAGAGTAGGAAAGAGGACACGATGAGGCAGATACTTTCAAAGCTGGAAAAAACTGACTGAGCTAGGTTTGTTGTCCTAGTATGTAATTATTAACACACAGTATAAAATATTGATCATGTGATTTGGGTCATCACTTGTCTGTTCACTTCCATTTCTTGGAAGATTGAGATGAACTCTCTTAATGTTAAAAGCTTAAAATGTCTTTACATCTCTCCCTAAAGCAATAATTTAAAAAATCTCACTGAAAAATATTCTTGGAAGCATTGACATTAAGTCTCGCATCTCTGAACAACTCAAAGCCTACATTTGTAACAGTTCTGAGCTTTATTATTAACTTGCAAAAACACATATAAAAAAGACATTTCTCAGTGTTTTAGTTTGTATCAGCGACTCTGATACGCATCTAAAAAGCATTCGTTAGAGGCTTTACAAAAGGAAGGTTATCTGTCCTTAAGGGCAGAGTTTGAAAAAGGAGCTAATTTAAGAGCCTCCTTTGAAGACAAGCATCTCAGGCACCCTCCTTAACTTTGTTTAGAAACCCTCTTGTCAGAGCATCATGAGAAGCACTCTTTGTGGCAAAGGAAAGTAGAAAGAGCACAGCTTCTTTTACACCATAAACATCTATTTATTATGGAAAATTAATTACAAAATATTCGGGAGGGACACTCCAGACCTCATGCTTGAGGCAAAAAGTTTTTGAAAAATGTTTCAACAGTGCCCTGAAAAGAAAAATGAATTAATAATTTAATGTGTTCCAAGAAACTGTTGAAAAACATATGTGGCACTAATGAGAGGAAATGAGGCGGGCACTTTATTTTTACGCACCGTCCTCTCGGGTCATCCTAATAATTTGATGCCCTTTGGTCTTTGCAGTATGATTTAATGATCCTTTTTTTCTTATTATTCTATCCAAACCCTTTTGAACAGTCTGTCATCTGTGTAAACATTATGATCCCTATTGTTGCGGACTCGTTTTGAAATCAACCTTTAAGAAGGCAACTGTGGAAATGAAACTGTAGCATTTAGAGAAACTATCTGAAACAGCATGTACAGGATACTACATTACCTGCCACTGCAGAGTAGCCATCTCGCAAATGAATAATGAGGTATGATTTTCTGAATTACACTGGCCATTACCATGGTAACCACCAGCTGCACACCGATCACACCCTGCGGAAAAAAGATGGGGTAAATCACATTTAAATAATAATTATACATACCATAAAGCAGTTACACATATGTATAGGTTTATATACTGTAGACTGAAAGCCTCAAGCATATCTTCAAACTGCACCTTAAAAAAATTATATTACAGATCTCAGATCAAAAGTCTTGGTGTCACAACTTCTCTTTAAACATGCCCTCACACACATACAAACATACCCACAAACACACCCGCATGTCTTTCAATGGGGACACATACAGTATGTTGTCCCAACAAACATGCTGATTACAGATTTCGACTGTTTCCCTGATACACTATCTAGCGACACAAACAAACGTATGTATGTGTGTGTATGTATGTGACAGGTTAAACTCTATAGCATGACCTCTAGTGTTTGAGGACAGTTCATTGGCAGTATAATGAGTGAGTAAGCTGGTATTTGACAGAGGTGAGGCAAAAGACTTATTATAATAATGCTTCTGTCGCCATGAAATTCTGCATTAACATTCACGGTCCCCACAAATGGATCAGATCATCATATACTGCTCCACCATCCGGCCAAAAGTTAAACCTGTAAACAAAATCTAGTTGTGCACTTCCATGAAATGTGCTAAGAACATTTATGGTCCCGTAGGATAGGGATGCACAATGTAACAGCACGTCATCGGCATGCTGCTAAAGGGCTTTAAAATGAAACTTCTTCCAATAGATGACACTTAAAATACACCATTAACTAGGCTAAATGCTTGAAGCTGTGAAGGGGACGTGAGGCAAAGACGACGTTACCACGTCTGTGAGCGTAAAAGAGGGACAAACATGCCTGTGGTGTGGAGGTCTTTTTCAAGTTTCAGTTTGAGCATTGCTCAATGCTGGTCATTCCTTTTACAAATTGAATTACTTATCTTAGGAGCTGTTATCCCAATCATTAAGAGAAATTTGGGAAGTACAAAGAAACAGGCACAAGTGAAAAACTGTTTTCAGCAGCCTCTTCTCCAGTCCTTAAACAAGGGCTAAAAAATATGAACAAATCATTTAGAAGCTACATGGAGTGCATTTCTCTGGACAACCAGCACATGGTGACCTGCCGCAGGTATCTCTCAGGTGTGGCCTTACGTGAGCTCTCATCCGATTTTATTTTATTCAGTTACTTTTTAAGTTTAAGCAATGGCCTGTAAACAATATGTTGCCTACTGATTTAGGCTAATTTATTCAGCAGTGTGCAAAAGAGCACACTATGTCTATCAGTGTTCTTTCTTTAATTGCTGTACAATTGTAGAAGAAACTGCATTAATTTACTCGTTTTGCAACCTGTGAAATGGGTTAAATTTACTCTGGTTGTTGTCAGGATTGTCTCAGAGAGAGCATCATCCAATTACAGTTACAGTAGGATGAATTTTACAATCTGAATGTGAACATTTAATTTATGTCTGCATCTGCCAGTGGACCCTAACGATAAGAGTATGCATAATTATATGTTAATTCAGCTACAGGGGTTGAGATACTTAATGCTTTCTGCAATTACGTTGAAAAATAAAACACATGTATCGGCATATTGGATATCGGCCAAAAACCCCATATTGTGCATCCCTAGGATAAATATTTTTGATTTACGAGAATACATGGCTCTTTCATCTAGATGAGGTGTTTGATTAATAATGCAGCCAATAAAGCATAAGCTGCTTTGGACCAGTCTACGTGAAACACCAAAGGAAAGCATATTTTCTTGGTAAATACTGTAGAAGAGAAAGTTGAAAGATTAGGCTCAGCAACCTTGATTAAGATCCAGAATTCAAACACAGAATGACCTTCATTTCACCATAAACACAGACAAGGAGAGCAGTCTGTAGGACAAAGGAGTGTATAATATGACAATTTACAACTTAAATGAGTTGTAGAACCAAAAAGAGACACTGTGGCTACTGTGTGTAATGTTTTAGGCTACCGTCATACTTGTATAACAATACTGAGATCCACTCCCAAGTGCCTGCATTGTAAATAGCATGGTATGTGAAAGTGCCTGGGACTCCCCACTACTACAGCCGCGTCTTGCATGATTGGTGAAGTTCAAGTCAACAATTTGCAGCTGGGGTAGACGTGCTGACGTAGCGTTGGCTGACGTGGCGACAGGGTTGGGTCATATGTTCAAACCTTCCAACCGGCCGCTGTCAGCCCAACAACCGGCAGTTGCCAATATATTCACGCAGGAGTGTTTGCAGTGCCGTTCCATCCACCTAGTTTCAGTCTGTCGCTGAGCAGCATCTCTCATTCGCTATTTTGGGGGAACCCATTAGCAAAACAAAACGACAAAAAACACCCAAAACACTCGTTGCCCTTGAGGTGATTGACATTTGGCAACCAGAAGAGATTGTTCTACACAGTTTCTACCAAAGTGCTGCTGCCTTGAATGTACCTGGTTGGATTAGGAAGTCAATGAGCAAGACTGTTTCATGGCAGTACTGTATTTACAGCATTTTTAGCAGGTATTTAATTCTCTATATCAGCCAGTTCCATATCCAAAATCACAATATGTATGACTGATGCAATTTCAAATTACTGACAGAGTGACAAATGATTAATATCATGAAAAGGCACACAAATGTATTGATCACAATGAACCAGTCAGTCTAAGTTTGATTATAAGGGACTGAATTATTAACCAACCAACAACTGTAATGTGAGTACGTTTTGTGGTGTAAATACAGTGTTCACTCATTTCTGCTCTGTCTGTCACGATGTCAGCCTCCATGTGCCCAGGAGAATGAACAGCCAGCACTCCTGTGGTAGGTACCCACAGATTTAGTAACATAAGGAGCTCAATCTCAACCCAGCACTCTAAGATCAATATTCACTTAAGCTTAAGAGGCCAGAATCATTCTCTCCATGCTGCGCTTTTATCCACTCACTGTAGGGTAAGGTCTGCAGGCTGGTCTATCTCTTTGGTAATCAGCAGGAATCATTGATATCTGTGCCCACACACATTTGAGCAAAGAGAACCAATTAGTTAACTAATCCCCAATAAAATAGTTTTTTCTCTTTGCCAACAACAGTCTTATTATCTGTGCTAGCACATGGAGACATACCAGTGAATCTACACTTGAAAACTCATCACATGAATATACAGCAACAGACCCTGTGGCCTCTGTTTTCTCAACGTGATGTTGACGCATCAATAATATTAGGCTAAACAAAGCTCCCTGCCCTCTACTCAATAGAGCCTGAATTCATCCTAAAAGGGAAATGTACTTTGCCTAATGTGCGTCTTAGTGGCAATCTAAAGAATTGTTGGTCCATTAAGGAAAAAGTATTTCAAAGAATGGAAAATTAATATAGGACTCAATCTTTTCAAAAAGTAAAAACTCGAACATGCTGACATGCAGATTCTGAAAATGTGTCGTCTGGGTCGGTCCATCGTCTAGCGGGTCCTTGGCAGATCCTGGCCAGCATGAAGCATACCTTATGCTTAGTTATTGTTATAGTGTCTGTGCGCAATACTCTCTCCTTCCAGCAACAAACACTGATAACGATGCCCAAGCTCACTATTCTCTGGTTTCTGCGAATCTCTTACTTTAATTAATTTTTGCACCCAGTCCACGTTTTTTTTTTTTTTTAAGTGCAGCCTTCAGCATTAAGCTTTGAATTGAATTTCTGCAATGGCAAGATGACAAGAAGTGGGCTTTTGGGCTGCATGTGCTAACTTAAGTTCACACATATCCTGCTTCAAACATAAGACTGTACACAGGCGTACATTCATCATAATGAACAACCCTGTGCGTAATACTAATAAAAGTATTTCCGAGTGAAGGTTAAACCTATGTCAGAATACAGTAGGTGTAGAAGTTGGAAGTGAATGATGGCTACTAGACCTAGTTTTTGGATTGGTCATGGGGATCCCCAGTGTCACCCAGCAGGAGGTAAGCTGCAAAAGCTAAAGTCAATACCTCTTCTGGAGTCACAGAGGGGAGAGTGGGTGCCATTAATTTGGCAATCATACTCACTCAAGATGTGACGCGTGACCAAATACAACCTCTCTGACTCAAGACATTTCTCCGTCTGAGTAATGGTCATGCTATATAGGTCAAAAGCACACAGCCTTCGTTTGGTGGATGCTGACCATACTCGGTGGGGGCTCTGCAAGGATCTCAGGCCCGGGGGAAATTGAGCCAGCATGGACTCTCTTATCTTGCCCAGTCCGCTTGACCCCCTCCACACAACAACCAAATGAAATCTGTAGGGGGTAAGGAGTGGGAGCTGCAGTGATAACCACCATCAATAAGAGCTCAAACACCTCACTACTATTTTGCCCATGAAACTAACTTTGAAGCAGTGGAACCCCTTACTGACTGATGCTTTCCCAGTTCCATTCATCTGGACTACTCTTGAGTGTGTTTAATCCTTCTCTCTAACCTGTACTGAATGAATATATTTACTACACTTTCTCACAGACGTATTGCTGTTGATATGGGCCATACTGTACTTCGAAATGAGACTAACACTATAGCAGTAAGAGACACCACTCACTTGATTTGAAGAATGAGTGGCTCGACCTGCCTGGTGATCATTTCCACATTACTAATGCTATTTTCGACACGTTGTCACTGTTTTCCTGTCCTGGCAGCTGTTACAGAGAACATGTATCTGAAGAATTATACAAACTTACCTCAATATTCAGAATAATACAACAAAGATAAACTCCCCGATTGTGTTGGAGACAATTTATTAAGTTTCATCCCATTTTACGGTTTGAGATTTACGTGTGCTGAGGTTGACATTATTTGGGAATAATGAGTGCTATAACAAAACAACACTACAATGTATGCAACCAGAACTGTCCATTTCTGACTAGTATAATATTATATACACAGTACAGCTTGCAGTGAACATATGAATCATCAATTTCCCCTCATCAAACGTTTTCCTGACCGGTTTCTGAAAGTCCTTAACATGACATTTGATTTTAACCGTCAGTGTTCAACGAATGTTTGTGAAATTGCGAATAAGCTACATCAAAAGAGTAATTATACTAATTACATCTACTCTGAGGGCATCCTGAGGTCAAACCGAGCAGCTCAGGTAAGTGAACACACCTTGACTTCCCCCAACGGTGTCCTGCTACAGCTCAATGGCATGCTAACTGTGTGCTAGTATGACACATTCAGGCAAAACATAACTCATCTTCAACCTCTATCCGACAACACAAGCTAATACCAATAGTCCCAAACACTGTTATGTGGCTAACACCACTTAAAACCGTCCCCAGACTGCAGACGTCCACTTTTAGCTACCGCTAGCCGAGCAGCTACACACACTGTCCTAGCACAGCTAAGCTAAAGCTGCAAGGCACAACAACAACAACAACAACAACAACAACAACAACAACAACAAAACTATCTGCACGCACAGAATAACTCAGCGACGTTACAAAACCAATGCTCTATAAATAAAGTGCGAGAAACGAGAGACGCCGTTGCGTTCAGGTGCTCTCTGCCTGCCACACTCACCATGTTGATGCAGTGCAGCTAAAGCGGACTCTTCTTCCCCGACAACACTGAGCACCCCGAGGCGGAGATCAAGCGGCGAGGAGCACATAGGCCCTTCTTGCGATGGTGGTGCACAAAATGAAGGGGTTTCTCATTCAAATGGTCATCGTATCCTCGCAGAGATCGGCGCTGTGTGGTCAGAAATCGACGGCTCCACAACCTTCCGCTCGCAGGTATTTTCAACTGCAGTAGAGGTCACGCTGCAATTTGGGGCAAGGAGGCGTCTTCACGTGTGCCTGTAGACATACGAGTAAAATACGAGGGTTTAACTGTTCGCACTCGTACAAAGAATTCAAATTTAAATGTGTTTTATCATGCAGAAAATGCACGTGTATGCAGTTTTTTTTTATTTTGATTTAGGAGTTAGGTATGTTTTGTCATTTTGTATAGGATTAGGCAGGACAGCTATAAGTATGCAGTAGGACCTCCGCAACCGGAAGAGAGCAAAGAGTCACCATCACACATGACAGATCGATACCTGCATCAGATCTGCACATCAACGAGTGAAGGCCAATAACACCGTCTCCCGGTTGATCTCGGAGTTATTATCAACAGCATACATTGCACTTTGTGGCTGCATCGATTAATAAACGAACCAAGCCCTGCAGAAGTCTCTACCCTGACTTAAGGCGAATCTTAAGGGTTGCTCGACCCTCACAGTCGTTACTACTGTGAGGTTTTTAAGTAATATTCATTCACAAACTGTAACCAGGCAAATCAGAAAGTAAGAAGTGCCACAGGCTGCAGTGATATAGGTCTAACTCACTTACTGAAACCCTTTAGAGAGACTCAAACCTGTGAGTTATTGGTTGCTTTTTAGTGGTTATATTTTAACATCCATGGGCACAATTCATGTTAAATATGATCACAATAGACATTTATCATGAAACTCCATCCTAATAATACACATACACTGTTACACTGTTTCAGAATCAGAAATACTTAAATAATCCCAGGGGGAAAT